TGTGGGGGGTTGCGGGGGGGAGGGGAGTTTCCATTGTGTCAGCAGCAGCCTCGCCTGTGGGGGGTACCCCCACTGTGGATCCCTAGAAGCTTGTAAACCTGTCACTAAGGTAGGGCTGGCTGGGAGCCAGATGGCAACACTGGGGCTCCACCCAGGACCAGGGGCCCCCAGGAGAGCAGCTGCCTAGCACAGAGGCCCAGGCTGCTCCCTCAGCCAGGACTGGCCAGGACTTTCCCCTCTCTGCCTGCCACCTTGGCCTTGGAAAAATGAGCACTAGCACTAGATGCTGAGTATGGTAGAGGACTCTGGCCATGGCATTGGAAGACCAGGGTGCAAGTCTCAGCTCTTCCACTTAATTGCTCTGTGACCTCAAACAACTTGGTCAACCAGTCTGAATCGCAGCTCACTCATCCATAGACTAGGGACCTTAGGGGGTCCTGGTGCCTGTCTCAGTGCAGGGAGGGCAGCTATTTGGATGGTATAGCTGCCCCTAGCTGGTCCTTGGCATCGAGCTGTTCTCAAGGTTAATTCTCATTTTGCTTTATCTCCTTCCTCCCCCCAGATCATAATGCCGGCTGAGATGGGGAGAGGGGGTAGAGAACAGAAACAGGGGGCGGGGAGGTGGTGATCCCCTGGTCAGGGCTGCCATGTTGCACATCTGTGAGGGCACCATTCCTGTTGTAATCCATGAGAATGGTGCCCTCTGGAGGTGGGCAGGGCAGCACTTACTTTTCTACACGTGGTGGAGTTGCTCTTGTTCAGAGAGAAATTGCTGCCATTATTATTAGATGGGTTTGGAGGCAGGTCCATGTGCGATGGGTGTGTGTTTTATGTGCAGTGTTCTGTATGTCCATGTGTACATGAGTCCAGCCATGTGTGCACAGGACATATGGAAAGGTGAGATTTCTGGTCTAAGGGATAAGGGAAAAGATAAGTTTCTCTCTCTTCTCTGTCTTCTAGGGTCTGGATTACCTTCATGCCTTCATGTGCTCACAGGCGTGTGTGCGCACTCATGAGTGTGCATTTGAGACCACAGTTCTGGATGCACATTGTGCCTCCAGGGACCAGGGCTCCCCTGTTCCCTTCCCCACCTGTTCTGCTGGCAGCCAGGGAGGCTGGGCTCTGGCCCACCCCACATTCTCCCTGTGGAAGGGAGGCCTCGGAATGATCCTTCCAGGACCTGGGTCTTTGGACCTTGGGTGTCTCCACTATATTTGCTCAGCACCAGTGTTTTCTATGCCTTTATTGAAGGCCCCAGGACCCCAAGTGGGATGGGTGGGAAGAAGAGAAAGCATTTTGAAGGGATCTGAGAGCCTGCGGTTGTTCCATGGGTTATATACACATTTTTTTTGAAACTGGCTTATTTTACTCAGTATAATTATTTTGAAATTTATCCATGTTGCTGTCCATAGTTCATTCAATTTTTACTGCTGAGTAGTATTGCATTGTATAGATGTACCACAATTTGCTATCCATTCACTCAGCAGGCATTTTTTTCCTTTATGCTTTCATTTCTACATATGTATATATCCCTAAACAATGTGTAATGTTACCTTTTACCAGAGGTATTTTTTAAAATCAAGAGTCCAGCTGGCCCAGCTGGTGTGGCGCAGTGGTTGAGAGTTGACCTATGCTCCAAGAGGTCGCCAGTCCGATTCCCAGGGCACATGCCTAGGTTTTGGGTTCAGTTCCCAGCAGGGGTTGTGCAGGAAGCAGGTGGTCAATGTTGATATTTCTCTCTCATTGGTGTTTCTCTCTCTCCCTCTCCTTTCCTCTCTCTCTAAAAGTCAATAAAAACATTTTAAAAAAGAGTCCAAGTTGTGCCTGAGGCTGGTATATGCCCAGTGAGTACCACTTCCAGGCAGGGCACCTGTAGCCAGTGCCACCCTCCCTTTGCCCTTCACCCCAACTGACCCCATCCCGGGAATGATCTCCCCAGGGGCCTCTTAGCCTCTTCCAGGTAGCCTTCCCAGACTGTCTGGGTCTCCTCCGAGCAATGCCAGCGCTCACCGCTTGGTGGCCTTCAAAGTCCTTGAGCACTGTTGGACAATTCTAGTCTTGTCTCCTTGGTAAAAGCAAGGCAGCTCCTTGGGCCACCCTCACCTCATGGGCTTGGCCTTCAGGAAGCCGCTACCAGGGAGGCCTGGAGGCTGCTGACTCATAGGGTGCCCTGTTGGCCCAGGACAGTGGGCACTGGTGTCTAGACCCTCTGGGAAGGAGGATGCAAAAATGCAAAGGGATGCAAACAGGGCCTGGAGTGCAGTCCGGGAGCCCTCCCTGCTGCTCTCTTCCCTCCCTGCCTTCCTCTCCTTCCTGGAAACCCCTCCTCCCCTTTAGGGAGTGGCATGTTTTCTGGGCAGGCCTGATGCTGACCAAGCTTTCGGCATTTTTAAAAGGGTTTTATATTTAAGCTTTATTTATTGGCTTATGAATAAACAAGTTCAAAAGATTTCAAAATTCCAAAAGGCAAATGGGTAAACCAAGAAAATGATTTCTTCCGCTATGATCATCTAGCCGCCCAGCCGATCTTCCCAAAGCAATCGAGTTCTCAGTTTCTTGTATGTTTTCCATTATGTATTTGTTTTCTTATTTTCTTCTTCTCACACAAGAGATAGCAAAAATACTTTGTTCACTTTGCTTATTTTATTTTTCCCCCTTTATTAAGATATTACAAATGTGTCCTTATTCCCCCAATGTCCCCTCATCCCCCCAATCCTGCCCTCACCCTCACCTCCTGTTGTCCACATCCATCGCTTATGCTTATATGCATGCATACAAGTCCTCTGGTTGATGTCTCCCCCTCACCCCCTCCCTCCCCTACCTTCCCTCTGAGTTTTGAGCATCTGATCGATGCTTCTCTGTCTCGACATCTGTTTTTGTTCATCGGTTTTTGTGGTTCATTATAATCCACAAATGAGTGAGTGCTTTCTGCATTTTTAAATGCCTGCCTCAGAGGGACCCAAACTTCCCAGGCCTCTGTCCTGTTTGTGGCTGTTACTTCCCCGCCTCCATCTCCCCCTCCTCCATGTCTCTCCTCAAGATGATGGGGTGGGAGGGGGCTGCCCTTCCTGATGGGTGGTGCACAGATCTTGGGGAAGAAATGAACACCCTTCCACCCCCAAGATGTGCATTCATAATGTTAGTGCTACTGATACATGTCTTAGAGCCAATGGGTAGAGGCCACCCATTATGCCAGAGAGGGGAAGTGACTTCCCATGGTCACGTGGCCAGTAGTGACAGATCAGTCATCTGACACCTTGTCCTGTGTTCTTTCCTCTCTCGGCCTTGTCTCCTGTTTATAAAGCACCTCACATGGTTGTAAAGCACCTTTCGTGGACCAAGTCCTGTCCCGTACTCGATCCCACTTTGGGCTGTGGTGGAGCTGTCCGTAGAAGAAAGAGCTGTACCTCCCTGGCCAGGGGTTCTTGAGGCAGATCTGAGTTCCTTCAGGAAGCCTGGGGTGGAGGGAGGCAGCCTGGGGTGGAGGGAGGCAGCCTGGGTGAAGAAGGAAGGCAGCCTGGGGTGGAGGGAGGCAGCCTGGGGTGGAGGGAAGTGGTCCCGAAAAGAAGAAAGAGATGGGTGTGGTCCTGGGGCTGCAAAGCTTGCCCCACCCACCTTCCTGGTCTCCAATGGCAGCCCCATGGTCACCTGTTCACTACAGCCTTGTCGGTCCAGCTCCATTGCCATCTCCTCCTCCTCCTCCCCTCTTCCTCTGCTCCAGGATGTCTCTCTGAGAAGTGACCTGCCTGCGTGTCCTTTTGGCCTTAGCACTGCCTACCATTTGTATTGTGATTTCTGTCTATGTCTTATCTCCCTTCCTGAGCCGTTGGCTTCTTGAGGAGAGGATCCTTAGGTGTTTCATGCCTGTATCTCCAGTGCCTCGGACGGGGCTCAGTGTTCAGCAGATACATAGTGAATATTTGTTGGGAAAAATAAATGGTGGTGGTAGTGAGTGACAGTGTATGGTGGTGGATGTTGGTAGTAAATGCTGATTTGTCACAGAGGTTGATGGTAGAAGATAGATGGTGGGAAATACTAGGGAGAAACAGTAGATGGTAGTTCTTTTTGGTCATGATGGTGGTGGTGGGAGGTGATGGGTGAAGGATGAGGGTAGATGATGGTGGGTAATAAATGGTGGTAGATGGTGAAGTGGGACATAGCAGTAGATGGGAGCAGGAGAAGGATGGTGGCAAATGGTGGCAGTGGTGGTGGATTGCCCTGATGGTAGAAATACTGGGCAGTGGGTGACTTCCTCCCCATCTGCCCTTCCCTAGGGAACCCTAGTCCAGCTCTTGGATTGCCAAGTTCTCTGACATGGTAGCTTTTGTTTTATTTGCAGACTCCATCGGGGGTTCCTTCCCTGCCACCTCTCACCGATGCCACCACAAGCAGAAGCACTGCCCGCCGGTGCTGCCCGGCGGGGTGCTCCTCGCCACGCCGCTGCTTTTCCACCCACACACCAAGGGCTCCCAGATCCTCATGGACCTCAGCCACAAGGCGGTCAAGAGGCAGGCCAGCTTCTGCAATGCCATCACCTTCAGTAACCGCCCGGTCCTCATCTACGAGCAAGTCCGGCTGAAGGTGGGGCTTCCCTCCCCGCTCTCTGTCACTGCTTCCCCCTGGGCCTCTGAGCTTTATCTCTCCCCCCCGCCCCCGCCCCCATCACTGCCTTCTCTTATGGCCATTACTACACCCTGTACCTTCTCTTTCCTCTCTGCTCTTTCTGTTGCTCTTCCTTGTCCCTCCTCTTTCTGTTCCCTTGTCTGTCCGTACTCCTTTCTCAACCTTCCCTGCCTGGCAAAGAAGGAAGGGGAGCAGGGAGTGGCCATGGGGGCCACTAGCTCCTGGGGAGGGAAAGGAGCCCAAATGGTGGGCAAGCTGGGAAGGGCGGCGACTCTCCATGGGGGTGGTCTGCAGGGAGGGGCAACTCCCTTTCCCGTGGGCTTGCTGGAGTCTGGGCTCGCTGGAGTCGGGGAGAGGCTGGGCCGGGCTGGGCCGGGCTGGGCTGCGGGCTGTCTGAGGCCACCCCCTGCCGTCCAGATCACCAAGAAGCAGTGCTGCTGGAGTGGGGCGTTGCGCCTGGGCTTCACGAGCAAGGACCCCTCCCGCATCCACCCTGACTCGCTGCCCAAGTACGCCTGCCCCGACCTGGTCTCCCAGAGCGGCTTCTGGGCCAAGGCGCTGCCCGAGGAATTTGCCAATGAGGGCAACATCATCGCCTTCTGGGTGGACAAGAAGGGCCGTGTGTTTTACCGCATCAACGACTCGGCTGCCATGCTCTTCCTCAACGGGGTCCGCACGGCAGACCCACTCTGGGCCCTGGTGGACGTCTATGGCCTCACACGGGGGGTCCAGCTGCTTGGTGAGTGCCCGCTCTCGTTGGCCCCTTAGGTGCAGGGCACACCTCCAGGAGCTGTGATTTGAAGGGGAGCTAAGACTCTTCTGCCTTCCCTTCCTTCTGTGAAACGGTGAGCCTTCCGGGCTCCCACCTGCCAGTGACAGACAGGCTAGAGTCAGACACACCCAGGTTGGACCCTGGACTCACCCTTTTAGTATAGCTAGTGCTCTGAGACCTCCGTTTTCTCATCCCCAAAGTGGGGGTAGTGATAACTGTTCCAGGGTTCTTTTGAAGGCTCAGAGAGCTGTGATGTGAAGCTGCTGACACAGGTGGCATCAGTGACTGTCGTCACCTCCACTCATCTTGGGCAATACTTAACAAACACCCTCCTGCTGCCGTGGTATCCTCGGGGCCTCATGCTTCAAGGCACTGGGGTCCCAGAGCTCGCATTTGCACTCTATCCTGGACACTTCTGTGTGAGCCTCAGTCTTCTCATGTGCAAAGTGGGTGGGGAGACTGTGCCTTAGCCCAGGGCCTGGCCGCATGGTGGGAGACAGAAGGGTGTCCCAGGTTTTGAGGAGGTCACAGTCTTGTTGGGGGAAAGAAGGGGAAAGGAAGAGGGAACAACATTCTGGCTTTCCCATAAGCAAAGAATGCCCTTCTTCACGGTCCCCAAAGATCAAAATGCTATTCGGGCCTCAAGGCCCAGCTTGTAAGCCACCTCCTCCCTGAAGCCTCTCGGGTAGGATTCTCTTCTCCGTTCCTTGTGTCCCACCGCTTGGCACCTGCACTTCTCTAAGTGCTGAGGTATTGGCTGAGCTTGGGTCCATCCATACGTCTGTTCCCAAACAAGACGGGGAGGGCTCTGAGGGAGGAATCCATATCTCAAGCACCCGGCTTCCTCTCCAGAGAGGAATCTTGTGCCGGATGGGTGGAGAATGCTGGGGAGTATTTACAGGGTGGGTAGGGGAGAGGACTGGAAAGGATGGATGGCTTGTTAGATGGAGGTAAGGGTGTGGGGCATGCTGAGGTAGACCGAGCGTGCTCACAGCCCCAGACTCACTGGAAATCAGGCAAGACAAAGCAAAGACTCCAGACACCATCAGGGATAATCTGAGAGAACACAGTACATCGCTAAGTGGTGTGGTCATAGGATCCCTCCCATTTGCCAAGATGGTTCTCCTCCAGTTATCCCATTTAACCTCTTAGCAGCCGGCTTGGAGGGGGTGGTTTTTATCCTCATGTGACTGGGAGTGAATGGAGGCCCAGGGGAGACCTGGTTTGCCTGTGTAGGGATGTGGCAGAGCTGGGACTTGAACTGGGTGATCTGATGCCAAAAGCAGTGCCTTTCCCTTTACCCTCCAGTGGGTTTAAGCATGAAGGGAGGCAGGTAGTCAGAGGAGGCTGAGGTCAGTGAGGGAGGATGGAGTCCAGGAAGGCTTCTTGGAAGAGGAGGCTTAGGCTGGGTTTTTGAGTTCCAGGAAGGTGGGGGCGAGGGGCGGGGGGGAGAGTGAGGGGAGTGGGAACATGCCAGGTGAGCTGGGGCTTCCAAACCTCAGGGGCTGAGGGAGGGGCCTGGAGAGTAATCTGAAGGGCCCCACCCTGGGGCAGAGCCCAGATGGCCTACCGGGCCCAGCACCATTCCCCCTCTTTGACTATAAATGGGTTTTCATGCAGCATTTTCAGTTTCATTTGGATCTCCCGGTAGGCTCCTCTCTGTACACCCGATAAGGCTGAGGCCCCAGCTGTAAATCACCATAATCCCTGGGCATTTTCAAACACTGATTACGGCCCCTAAATTCAATTAACAGATTAAAATATCTCTTCATTTTGTTCTTCCTAAATGGGTTTGTTTTTTTAAAAAAGAGATCCATCCAAGAATTCTTCGGTGGTGGGCGTGCTGCTCTATGCCTCCTTTAGCGCCCCTGCCCTCTGGGGATGCCCGCTGCTGCTGCCGCCGTATGTAGTCCCAGGGTCAGTTTTCCCCCCCGCACCTCTCCCCCCTCCCCCCTACTTCCCATGTTCCCCTCTCTTCTTGCTGCCACTTCCCTGCCCTTGGGTCCTCCTGAGCCTCCCTCCCTCCTATTGGTGGCTCTGAGGATGGGTCTGTCTTTCCTGAGATGATTGTCCTCCAAACCTGCGTCTTATCTTTAGAGATTCCCTGCTAAGCCTGCCCCTTCCCCTCCTGCCTTTTTTCGAAATCTCTGCCAAAAACCCTTCAAACCCCACCTGGCCAGTGTCTGCTCCTTAGACCAGAGACACCCTAGGGTATCTGGCACATAGTAGGTTTGAAAGTCAGGCCATGGGCAGATTGGCCGTCTCCCCTGACAGAGTGGAGGCAGGGCTGTGGTCTCTTCCCTGATTGACACCTCCAGGCAGGTGTCCCATTCCCACCTCCCCAGCCCTAACTATAACAGGGCTCCACGGGCCTTCTGGGCTCCTGTTATGCAGATCACCCTCTTCCCTCGGGGCGCCCTGGCCCAAGCCTGGCTGGTATCTCCAAGAATAACAGCTTCCTACCTCCAGGAAGAAGGGCCTGCCAGCAACTAAATAAATACAACTTTTATGGGGTGATTAATACTTGGAGAGATAAGCTCCTATCCCAGCTTTTCAGACTCTCCCTGCTCCTGTCAGAAATGTTGGCTCAGGAAGAGCAGCCATATTTCTTGGCAGAAAGCTGGTGAGCCAAGATCTGCTCACAGATCCTCCCGAGCACCCCTCTGTGACCACCACAGCCGGGGCACTGTGCAGGAGTGGGGGGGGACACAAGTTGGAAACCCTGCTCCTTGAAGAGTGTTTACATTAGGGGGCACGCCATATAACTGTTCTGAGGTGTCCTAAGTCCAATTCTGCAATTCAGTGTGGCTGAAGAGTAAAACCAGGGTTGGGGGGGAGGGGTGCGACTGGGGAGCAATCCAGAAGGACTTCCTGTAGGAGATGAGTTTCAAGTCAGGAACCAAAAGAGGTGAAAAGAATGGACTGGTTGAGGAGCAATAATTTAGGCCAGACAGGAGGGGTGTGCATAGGCACAGGGAATTCGCAGTCATTCAGGGAGCAGTTCCTTCAAGGGAGGGGGTGAAGCGGAAGGGTACTGAGTGACTATGGAGAAGGGGTGTGCACAGGTGTGGGGGAGGGTCCATGACAGTAGAAAGTTTTCAGCAGATTCTGTGCTATCAAGTGTTTCAGTGAGAGGAAATGTGGCCCAGAGATGGGAAGGGGCCGGCCCAAATCCTCCCAACCAGCCAGAAGCCAGGCCGGGCCTGGGATTCAGATCTCCCAGGCTGATCTGGGCACAAGGTCAATGTGAGATTTATTGCCACATCAAAATGGCAGTGGCTGAGCCCAGGAGGGCGTCGGGTGGGGGCTCCCAAGGCCGCGTGGCGTACTGCTTCTTTCCAGCGTCTGCCCAGGTTCCCGGGTCTTGGTGAACGGTCCCACCTGCCTACTGAGGAGAGAGATGCACAGAGACTCCCAGGATAAGCTTTCTGAGGGCCAGTCCTTGGGGTGACAGTGAGAGACCTGGGCCTCTCCAGAGATGGGCCCTGGGTCAGCCCCCCCCCCGCCCCCCGCCCCCTAAGCTTAGCGGCTCAAAGAGTGTGAGCTGTCCCCAGTTGGCTGAAGACCACACTGCCATCTGGGGCTTCTGCTTCCCAGGCTAAACCAATATTTACCTTCAGCCGTGGCTGCCAGGGGCTGAGAAGCAAATATTAGTTTAAGGAGCCCGAGCCAAGCTCTTGGGATGGGAGGAAAGCTGAGGATGCTGATCGCGATTTCTTCCTCTTTGACAGTTCTCAACCCTTCTCAATTCAGAAATGAGCTTGCTGTTCCTTCTGCTTCAGAGACTCTTCCAGGCGCTTTCTTTCTGCTCACCCCAAATTCTGCCAGTTATATCAGGGCCGACCCCAAACCCTCCCCTCCACCAGGGAGACTTCCCTGACCTCCTCCTTCCTCCTGACTGTCTGAAGCGCATGTAGATCCAAGTCCCCATCACGCACTGTGCTCTTTAAGAAGACAGCATGAATCCTCTTTGTATATATGGTAAAGAAAGTTATTATTGTGTTCATTTTGCAAATAGGGAAGAAGGGTACCAGAGCTTTTGGTTCCATTGGGCAAAAGGATTCCGCTGCCTAAAAAAGTTCGAGAATCACCAGACCAGATGGTTCTGGCAATCTATATGTCTAAGATTCTGTGGCTTGAAGATTCTATAAATCGAAGAGGCTGTGACTCTGGGAGAGTCTGCCCTGCCCTCCATGAGCCTCAGAAAGCGTGTGTTGCTAGCTTTCCTGTTGTTGGGTTTATATGGAGAGGGTGGAGGCGGGTGTGGGTTTCGGGGTAAACCCCTGTGGGGTGGAGAACCCCTCACCCATCCAAGTCATGCACCGCCCTCCTGGCTCCTTCCCGGCCCCTTCCCGGCCCCGTGCCAGATGGAGACCGGCAGAAGGATGTTTATGGAGACAGTAAATGGGCTGGCAGCGCCTTCCACACAGGGGCCGGTAGATGCCCGCCAGCCGGCTTGGAGGCTGCAGGCTGACCCGTGGTTAAAGATTATCCAGAACTCCGGATGTGAGAATCTAAACAAACAAGACTGGGGCTGATGGCAGGCCCTGCTTCAAAGGAGCCCCTGG